CTTCCTCTACCTCTCAAGTGCTGAGATTAAAGGTGTGCGCCACCATGCCCAGCTATAATTTGAACTGTCTTATGTAATATTTACTGAGGTCAAAGCTGCATATTCCTGAGGAAGCTCTGTATTTTATGAGTATGCTGGAAGCCCTGTTGGGCAGTAGAAAGAGCCTATTGTCATTTAAGCATGATTGACCCAGGAAGACTTGTACCTGCTCTCTGGTCCTCAGGTGGGCACTTGACCTGCTCCCTGAGAAAACATATGGAGGACTTCAGTAGTTTTTCCTCTGATTTTGAGAACAGTATTCATTTTTATGTTTGTAAGAACATTTGACAAATACATGTGACATACTTCATTGATTATTTGTAGTGTGAAATTATTCTTAGCACACAGAAAAAAAGAACCACAGTGATTTTGTGCAACAGAACTGCTTTTTGTCCTCCCTAAACTTTAATTTGGCTGAATTAGAGGTGGGTGATAGGTGCTGATGTGATGACCTTGAATAGCTCCACCAGACTCCTACTTTCAGTGTTTAGACACTTGAAGTGGCATGACCTGTACTCATTTTTGCTTCACCCTGAAATCTCACAGGCTCAGAGGGTTCTAGGGAAGGGTCTTAACTAGCAATTTCTCCTTGACCAGAGTTGGAGTCCAAGATCTACTTGTGGATTATAGTCTGGTTTTGTCAATTTTTTTTTTTTCTTGGTCTTTTTGAGACAGGGTCTCCCTGTAGCTCCAGCTGTCCTGGAACTCACTGTGTAGACCAGGCTGGCCTTGAACTCACAGAGATCTGCCTGCCTCTGCCTCCCATCCTGGGACTAAAGGCATGAGCCACCAAGCCCGGCGATTTTGTTAATTTTTTAAAAAAAGATTCATAGTATTTATTAGGCCAAAGATAAATTCACATACTGTTGGGTCCTGTTCCATGGTCAAAGCAATTCACAACCAGTACCTAACACAGCAGAATACTTTAAACAACCTACTTTTACATAGCGGACTTCAAAGGCAAATTCTTGATTCTTAAAATCTTAACTATTATGCAGTTCTCACTGTTCTCTTTGAGACAGTGTCTTGCTATGTAGCCCACACTGGCCTTGCTTTACCTTCCTGCATGGAGTTTCCTGAGTGCTAGGGATTAGAGGCGCACCTCTCTGCCTGTCTTCCTCTGAGTTTTCTACAGCTTTTCCCTGTGCTGATTTAAAGCAGCTAGCTTGAAGCAAGTGTAAATGTTTTCTAAATATGTGGTTATTTTCTAGTCAGTACTTAGCAACAAAAATGTTGAATTTCAATAGGAAATATAAAATGAACTAGGACAATTAAAATTTAAAGTTTTCTTTCAGGGAGAAAATACCACACTTCAATTTAAGAAAAACACTTTTAACAGTCTAGTTCTTTTATTTCTTTTTGTACATTAAGCCACAAATTCATAGGGAACAGGCTCCAGTAGTCCATGCTCCTTTCTGAAAGTTCTCACAAAGTGCTTCTCTGGGTGGAGCAGGCTGGCACTTCAGTTGAACACAGGTTCCTTTCTCTTTGGCTTCTTTTTTTTCTGGTCATTTTCCTTCACCAATTTCAGGAAGCTGTCTAGACTCTTAGAGCATTTAATATGCTCAGTACACACATTAAATTCTCTTGTCAAGAATCTTGCCTGTAACTCACTTGTTTACAACAATGCCAACAGCATGCTGAGTGACGTTGTAGACTCTCCCGATTTTGCCATGGTAGCATTCATGGGGCATTCCTTTTTGAATAGTACCCATTCCCTTGATGTCTGTAATATCACCCTTCTTGTAGATTTCTATATATGTGGCCAGAGGAACAGCTCCAAGTTTTCTAAAAGGCCTAGAGAACATACAGCAGGGCCTTTTCCTCTTTCTCTTTGTTTTTCTCATTTTTGAGAATCACCGGAAGATGGCTGCACTGGCCGAAAAGCTGGTTTTCTTAATTCTTAAGAGGGTTGTTTTGGAAATTTGTAGAAGTACTTTCTAAAAGTTGTATTTTAAAAGTTTATATTTGTGTGTGTGTGTGTGTGTGTGTACACATACCTATGTGTGTGCTATGGTGTGCCTCTGGGGATTGAACTCAGGTTATCAGGCATGCATGGCAAGTGCTTTTACCCACTGAACATCTTGCCAGCCCCATGAAACTTTGGAAAAAAAAAAAAAAAGATTTAAGCCGAGCATGGTAGTGCCTTTAATCCCAGCATTCAGGAGGCAGAGGCAGGCGGATCTCTGTGAGTTCAAGGCCAGTCTGGTCTACATAGTGAGTTCTAGGCCAGCTGGGGCTCCAGGAGACCCTGCCTTGAAAAGACTATATATATATTCTATGTGACTGTTTTGCCTGCATGTATGTGAGTATACCATGTGCATGCCTAGTGCCTGTGGAGACCAGAAGAGGTTGTCAGATCCCCTAGAACTGGAGTTACAGCTAGTAGTGAACCATCATGTGGGTGTTGGGAACTGAACCTGGATCCTCTGCAAGAGCAGCAAGTACTCTTAATCACTGAGCCATCTCACCACCCTTGAGTGAAACATTTTTTAAAAAAATATATTTTGGCCAGGTGTGGTGGCACACACCTTTAGTCCCAGCACTTTGGAGGCAGAGGCAGGCAGATTTTTGTGAGATCGAGGCCAGCCTTGTCTACAAAGTGAGTTACAGGCTAACTGGGGCTACAGGGAGACTCTGACTCCAAAACTCAAGGGAAAAAAAAATCCAGGCCAGGCATGGTGCTCATGCCTTTAATACCAGCAATCAGGAGGCAGAGGCAGATGGATCTTTGTGGAATAGAATAACTGTAGACATTGAGGGGAAATGGTCTTTTGTTCGTTTTCACCAAGTGTATTAATCAGGGTTCTCATGAGAAACAGAACAAAGAGGAGATAAATGTTACACAAAAAACATACATGTATGTATTTATTGTGTGGAATTGGCTTCATGATGATGCTTGAGAAAAGCCTCAAGCCACTAAGAAGCCATGAGTAGCTCTCCTGTTATTACAGTTATTATAGGTGTATGCTTTAAGTTCTGTTGGCTTGCACTACTCTAGAAAATACCAATTTGAAGGAGACTGGTAGAAACTAGTGGATCATCTGAGTGGTGGGTTGGAAAAGAGTACAGGCATCAGGAGAGAAAGTGCCATTTACTAGGCATGGGACTTAAAGAAGAAAAGCTTAGAAGTGGGAAGCTGAAGGAAAGCCCCTTAAAACACAATTCTATTTTTCATGAGTACCCTGAGTTAGTGAGTAGATTCAATGCGTGTGATACTTTCAGTTTATAGATGAGAAAGTATAAACTACTGGCTGTCAGGGAACAATATGGCTATATCTGTGGTAGAGGACCTCTTGACTCTTGGTCATTTCCAGTGTCACTTGAATAGGCATAGGAAATTGGTAGTAGAGCTGACAGAGAGGGAGCACTTACTCTAGGCAGATCACTGATGCGGACTAGGAAAGTAAAGAGCAAAAGGATTAGAGTAGAAGGTAACTTGATGATGCCATGTATAAGGAACAACCAGGAAGCTGCTGGGGAGGAGGCTAAGGAAGAGGATCCTCTGTGCTTTGCTGTGTTCTTATTCCCACCACCAGCCTAGCATGTACAGTTGACATCATGCCAAGACAAGATAAACCTGGAATGTCCAAGTATAGTCACACTGTTGAAATGAGCCTTTAAAAAAATTTGTCTATTATTTTTATGTGTATGAGTGTATTGCCTGCATGTAGGTGGGTGCACCTGTGTCGTACGATGCCTGTGGCATTCAGAAGAGGGTGTCGGATCCCTGGAACTGGAGTTACAGATGTTTGTTAGCTGCCATATAGGTATTGGGAATCAAATCTAGGTCCTCTGCAAGAGCAGTCAGTGCTTTAATTGCCCAGCCATCTCTCCAGCCCCTGAAATGAGCCTTTTAAAGAAGATTTTATTATTTTTGTGTGTAGGAGTGTTTTATATGCATGTATGTAAGGGCACCACATGCATGCAAAGCCTGCAGAGGCCAAAAGAAAGCATTAGATTCTTGAGACTGGAGTTACAGATGGTTGTTAGCCGCTGTGTGGGTGCTGGGAGCTGAGCCCAGGTCCTCTGCAAGAGAAGCTAGTGCTCTTAACTGCTGAGCCATCTTTCCAGCCCTGAAATGAACCTTTTAGTTTCCAAGTTGTTACTCTATTTTTATTAGTGTGTGGAACTCTTCATAAAATAGACCAGTCCTTTCTTGTGTTCGATATGGTTTGTCACAAGTCATAAATCAACCCAAGTTCAAAATGGGCTTTCATTTAGATATCTATCAAAATAAACTTTCTGAACATGAGATTACTATAGGAAATGTTTTTCTAGTTCAGCTAACAAATGTATATTTAATGGCTTATCTGGTTTCAACTTGTGTGCTACCAAAGTTACTTCACATCCTCTTGGCTCTGAAATCAAGTATGTACCACTTGGGTGGAAACATTGTCAAATTCCTTGCAGGTATATAGAGTGGCCTTATTTTATGAACCAACATACTTTAATGAATTTTTTTTTTTTTTTGTCTCTTGGAAAAGAGGTATATTGGGAAACAATATTTAAATCTTGAGTGTTGAGATTTCTGGGTTACTGATGTGGGGACTTTGTGGCACATATCTGAAATATGGACTTTGCAAGATGATTTGGCAAATACAGCCACCCTACCCCTCCACACAGAGATGTAAATTCCCAAATGCCGTGATGATTATTGCTCCATTAAATGCTGAGGACGATGTGCACTGCATTATATTTGGTTACTTCACTGGAAATCTAGGATATGTTTTGCTGAGTGAACTAGAATGCATAAAGTTATAAATCAGTAAAATACTCAAGGAGGAAGCTTTGAAAATAGGGTCCATTTTGATAAGTGAGCCTTAAGAGTTTTCAACATTTATTTAGTGTAGTGACATTTGTCTTTCAAATATTTTTTTTCACACGGTGAAATTCTTCAAAATAACTGAAAGGGTTGTCTTCCAGATTTGTTCTCAGTGCAATGCAATTTCTTTCCACAGATTTGATTGTAAATGCATCACGAAGAGGCAGCCCAGAATGAAGAAGGCAAACAGGAGTGTTGGCTCAGCGCCCAAGGTGTCTGTGACAAGTAAAACACAAACAGTAGAAAAAGTTAAGCCCGAAAACAGTTCTTCAGCATCAACAGGAGGCAAACTTACAAAATCTGGAACAGCAACGTCTTTGTCAAAGGTATTGACAGTGATATTTGAATATACATTGGATTTTAGGTGTGTAATGTTGAATTTAATAAAGGAGAATTATTTGGAGTCCACCTTCTACTGGCCCTGGGAGAGGTACACAGCCTTTGAAGAGTGTTTACAGCAGGGTAGCCTAATTGGTGTTTTGGCCTGACTGTGTGAATGAAACTAATAACAGGCTTTGCATGAAACAAATAACTGAATACCTGCTTTATGTAGGGCGTGTGTGCAGGTGAATTAGAGGTAGAGTCTGCCTTCAGGGAGCTTGTGGAGGAAAGGATGGAGCTCATGAGACACAAATAGGAATGACTGAAGCACACATGAAAATGTCAGATGCCCTGGGGAGCACTGGCACAGCATGAACAGTTTCAAATGGGAAGATAATGCTCTTAGCTTGGAAGACTTTGTGAAAAGAATATGTAGGCTGTGTGTTAAAGCATGACTGACTGGCTGTCAATATTCCTGTGACCCCTCGACGATAGTCTAAATCCCAGTTCACATTGGAGGCTTCTAATTTAGTAAGAACATAATTAATTTTCTTTATACTTCTTAAAGACCTACGTCATTCTTTTTGGTGTAGAATCATAGAATCACATTAATTAGACCAAGGACTTTGGGGACAGACAGATCAGTACTTGCTTCAAAGGACTGGGGGCATAATTAAATGAGAGGTTATATTAAAGTGGACAGCACCAATCAAGTACATAGTAATGACAGGTAGTGGCAGGGCTGTTGAATTTTTTTTTTTTTTTTTTGGTTGTTGTTGTTGGCTTTAGAATGTTCTATAGGCCAGGATTGATTTCTGAAACATAACAGTTTTCCCATGGGTGTTCTCACCAGTGGCATGTTCTCAGTGTCTTGGGTGTTTTGGGCCATACAAGGAACCAGATTACTCCTTGCCGTTTTTCCTATTTTAGTTTCTTTTTTAAAATTAAAAAATACCTTTATTTCGTGTGAGTTTGTGTGTGTGTGTGTCTGTGTGTCTGTGTGTGTGTCTGTGTGTCTGTGTGTGTGTCTGTGTGTCTGTGTGTCTGCGTGCATGCATGTGTACATGTCACAGTGCAGGAATGGAGTCAGTTCTTTTTCTTCTACCTTGTGGATCCTGAGGATTGAACTCAGATCATCAGGCTTGAAGACAAGTGCCTTTACCCACTTGCCACCCCCCCACTTTTGAAATATCTTTCTTTGCTGTTGTTTTGTTTTTAGATGGTCTTGCTCTGTAACCCAGCCTGGCCTCTAACTCATAGCAGTCCTCATCTCAGCCTCCCCAAGTGCTGGATTACAGATGTGCGCCACCACACCCAGCTCTTAGTCTTGATGCCTTGCATTTGGATCCACCGTTGTCCTCCAGCCCTTTTCAGTTAAAAGTCCGTTTGTTTGTGCCTGCTTGCTTGCTTTAGGATTGGACTATTTGTGATAGAAACCAACTCTACAGAAAGCAAGAGGGGGCTTCTAGTCTGGTAGGGAGAAACCAAGTACACCCTGAAACATGATCTATCCCCAAACCTTTTTATCCAAGTTGAGCCTCGTTAGGTTATGGCTTAAGTTATTTTATAAAAGCCCTGGAGAGGAACAGCTGGTGAGGGATTCTTGTATGTGTTGAAAAATCTAGCAAGAAATGCTGTTTTTCTATTCCAAGGTTGACAAAACTGAAACCAAACTTACTCAGTGGGTTTGGAAGTCCCCCATTTTTTTTTTACTGTGTATCCTTGATGAGTTGCTTGGTGTCATCCTATGACCTGGAGGATGATGCAGGAATAACCTTTTGCCCTACTTCCGCTAGTCTGAATCAACACCCTGAAGTGTTTCCTTGGTGGCAGTGCTGCCACTCTTTCATGTAAGGTAGATGGCATTTTCTGACCTAACTGGTTACTTAGTTGCTGGGGCTGTATTCAGAGTGGAGTTCCTGTGTGACTGGGTGAGCTGTTCTTTATGTGACTGGAAGAACAGGTTGATATGTTGGTGTTGGATGAGTACCACTGCCTGCCTTCTGTGGCTTCCTTGTCAGTGGCAGGCAGTGTCTCTGAAGATTTACTGTGGTGTGTACATGCATGGCAGATCTGAGGTGTGGATCTGGAGTTGCTGGGAGTTTGCTCTTCAACAGTGAGTACTTTTCCACTGTAAACTGTATGCCTGCTTTTGCCAGCACATGCCAGCTGTTCAGTTTTGGCTTTGTTGAATTGGTAGGTTTGTTTAAGTGTATGTGTATGGAAGTGGGGTGTGGGTAGGTCAGCAGATAGTAGGGAGGGTCAGCTATCAGACTATTTAGGAACACTTTGCCTGGACGTAGGGCATTTACTTTTACTTAAAAGAGAAAAAAGGGCCAGGAGTGGTGGCGCATGCCTTTAATCCCAGCACTCGGGAGGCAGAGGCAGGCGGATCTCTGTGAGTTCAAGGCCAGCCTGGTCTACATAGTGAGTTCCAGGACAGCTGGGGATACAGGGAGACCCTGTCTCAAAAAGACCCCCCCCCAGAAGAGAAAAAAAGTATTATCGACTAGAAATTGAAGAAGAGACAGAAGGAAAAAAAAAAGTAAAAATGAACAGAAAAATTGAAAACATTGAAGAGCTTTTGAGGGGCTTGGAATGCAGCCGAAGGGTGGAATGCTTGCTAGCATGTGTTATGACCCATGTAGCATCTTCAGAACTACAAAAAGAGAGTTGTCTTTCTGACTTTGGTGTTACTTTTTTTTTTTATTTTTGGGTCTTTTTGAGACAGGGTCTCCCTGTAGCTCCAACTAACTGTCCTGGAACTCACTATGTGGACCAGGCTGGCCTTGAACTCACAGAGATCCACCTGCCTCTGCCTCCCTATTGCTGGGATTAAAGGCGTGCGCCACCACGCCCGGCCCAATGTGTTATTTGTTCTTTGAAGTTACATCTCATTGTTTCTCTGGCACAAACCCCCATAATTTTAATTCTTGTAACTATAATGGAGCATTGATTAGTAAGCAGAAAAAGTATTCGGCTTGTTAATTATTTAGACATCATATGCATATACTTTCCCATTCATATGTTTCTGTTACTGAGCAATATTCTCATGACTGCTTGCTCCTACTGTCAGGATAAAAAGATACGAGCTTTTTTAGTATCTCATTTCAAATACTGTTTGGGGATAGATCTAATTAGGAGTTCAGAGGAAGGAACTTTTGATACAGAGCACCTCATTGTTGATTGGAGCTGTAGTGAATAGAAAATGAAGCAGTACTGGTCTTCACAGTGAGTTTGAGGGAGGTCATTCCCAGTCTTGTCAGGAGCTGTGATAATCTGGTTTGGGACCTTTGTTCTTTGTCACAGTTAGAGAGACTTCTTTCTGTATTCAGCAGTCTTCCCAGTACCTGTATCTCTCCAGTTTGCATACTGCTTGGGTATTCGTGATTAGTGCTTGTAGAAGCAGTAATATATTTTTCCATTACACTGGAAAATGCTTTTTTTGTTTTTTTGAGACAGGGTCTCAGTATGTAATCCTGGCTGACCTGGAACTTGCTATGTAGACCAGGCTGGCCTCCAACTTAGAGAGGATCTACCTGCCTCTGCCTCCTGAATACTGTGATTAAAGGCATGCCCCACCATGCCCAATGAAAATACTTTTTGTAAAAATTGATAGTTGAGAACCAATAAGCTTCAATTAGAATCCAAATGACTGACACTTGGTGAGTATTTGTCATCATAATCTTGCAGGACAAAAGTTAGTTAACAGGACAGGGGTTTTAGTTCAGTAGCAGTGTTTCCCTAGCGTGCACAGGGCCCTGGTAAGTCTCCAATACTATACATACACACACACACACACACACACACACACACACACACACACGTAGAGAAAGGAGAAGAGAAAATAAAAGGAAAAAGTTAACAGTGTGACAGTCCATCTCTGAAATTTAAAATGTAAAATTTGAAAAGTAATCTTAAAAATTGGGGTAAAGATGCAGACTAGAAAACTTAGACTTGACCTTGAGATGTATGTATAATACTTTGATGGTAGTATTTCATTCTTTGTATCTATAATAGTTTTAACAAATGAATTGAATTTTTGCGCCTGTTACTAAAAAGTATACTAATAATGTATTCCTTCATCAGTTGCATCTTTGGACTATTGTTGATAAGGAATGTTTTTGGGAATGCACATCTATTTATAGAGTCTTATAGCAAAATTAGAAATAGGGGATAAAAACAGCAATGAACATATATATAGCTTAGTGTAAAAGACAGGTTGGAAATGCAGAGTTGTTTTGAATTTGCTTTTATGTTGTTGTTGTATAGATGCATTGACAGAGTTCACAAAGCATAGGCTGAGCTTAGTCAATCATTGTAAGATGAACCTAGCCTGCAGCTACTTTACAGGTCAGCTAACAGCACATACCTCCCCCTCAGAAACTTCCTGGTGCCCCAGGTGCTCTTTCCATCCTCCCCAGAAGTAAATGCCATCCTAACATCCAGTACCAGAGATTAATTTTGCCAGTGATCTTTTTATAAATGTAACCATAAATTCTGTTCTTTTTATATATGTTTGGTTTATTTCCTATATTGTTGCATATGATATCAATTCATTTCTTTTTGTTGATGGTTAGTATCCATGGGATAAATATACCTATTTTACTCAGCATACTGTTGAGGGACTTTCAGACTTTCCCCTTGGAGGCTGTTAAGACCAATATTAGGTCTTAGTATGTTAGGAGCATCCTCACATACCTTACTCCTCTGTGTACCCATTTCTGTTAGCACTCTAGCCAGAGTAAGATTTACTGTGCTCAATCTTAATAGGTAGGGTCAGTTTGCATGCCTGGGTGCTCCATGTTCTCACATTGTTACTGTCTGTATTTCAACTGTTTTGTGGTGTATAAAGGGATTGTGCAGTAGATTTAATTTGTATATGTTTTGTTATGAATGAGATTGAACATCTTTTTATATTTGTGTTTTCTTGTTTTTAGAGACAGTCTTGCTGTTTTCCTAGCCTTAGACTCCTGGTCTCAAAGATCCACACCACCATGTCTGA